ACCTCATTGCCTTTCAGGCCAGTATGGCCAGGAATCCAGACCAGAGACAATCTGTTAAGTCCTTCTATCGAGGAGACTCGGTTTCAGCAATTTGCTACCAACTTGGACGTTGCACAGTAGGAGACAAGAGCTTCGAAGCCGCTTGACTGTCCGATAATATTTTTATTGGCTTGTGTATGAGGTTAGATTCTTCCAGACAATTCAATGGCGTAAATTTCTGCTTGGAATACAGTCGCATAGGTTCCTAAGCTGTTTGATACCTCTGTCCTATGTCTGCGACTGAAAACACCTGTACCAGAACTTGTAGGTGTTTTTGATCCATTTGTGAACCAACAACTATCTGCTCTTAATATTTCCTTCTTCCTAACAGGATCTAACAATAACGCTTCCTGAATGTTGGTATCGGCTCAATCCATAAAATCGCAGAAATGGGTACCTACTCAAAGAAGTAATTCAAGCTGAGATTCACTGAATAATATTGAAAACATAACTCATCTTTGATAACGCCAAATCAAAACCATTTTATGCCCAAATATTTCCTAGTATTCCGCCAATTGAAACAATTGAACTGGTTGAGCATCTCTTATGGTCTGTCTATAAGCAGAAACATGGTTTTCTCTAGTTGAATAGGAATTTCTAGATTTGCTTTCAGTTTGTTCATCTTAAATTTAACAACAATTCAATGGCAGGTATCAGTCTTGCAGCAGAGAGCTAATGATGAGAAACCTTCTAGTCCTTTAGGGTGTCTCCAGAGGCTCCGAAAAATTCAAGACATCGCCATCGCTATCGTCAAACCTAAACTGTAATAATTACCAGATTCAACGCCAGAACCACAGTGAACAATGATTGCATGAAGATTATAATAGTGGTCTGTTAGATTGAAATGTTCATCTATTTCGAACCTTCGTAAGAGTTTGGTGCTTCCGTCAGAGGTTGAGTCATAGTAAAAATCAACCAGTAAGTCCACTCCCACTACTTTCATTCATAAATTCACAAAGTTCTTGGTGACCTCGAAACGAAGTGAGGAGCAAATTCCGTTGTTTTACCATAGGGGTGCACTCATATAAAAACTAAATTTAAGATTATAGAATATTTTGTGGTAAATAACTTATAACCAACTACAAAAACTAAAAACAATAATAAAAACAGCGAAAAAACTAAACACGATATCAATTTCCGACCGTTTAATATAACTAATCCGATGTTCTTGTGACCGTCAAATCCTTCGATACTACAGCACTCAAAGCGTTGGATGAGAACCTCATCCTAAGAGTGGTTGAAGGTCCCCGGCAACTCGGGCTTATCACGTGGTAAGATAGCCTACTGGTTGTATTATTCTACTATGGTTGAGTCATGTTTGAATATCATGAGTGTTATTATTGGTTTGACTGGTGCCTCAGCTGTACTTGTTTTCTTATAATAGTCAGTTAGTTTTGGGACGATAAATTGTCGAAATCGGTGACGACAGAGGACGTATTAGCGTTCAGCTTGATACGTGCAGCTTGTCAAATCTAAAAATAAACTTGAGAATCCTCACAACCTGTGTAATCCCCGACAAAGCACGCATTAGGACGATAGAAGATGGAAACTAGCCGACTTCTAATGCGCATCAAGTGGGCATGACCATATTGAAATTCAAAAAGCTCATCTTACATTTGACAAGCTGTACGAGGAAGAAAGTGGTACTCATTAGGCAACGATAGTAGTTAATACAGAACCTTGGCTTGAGGCTTGAAGTGATATCCGATATCGTAGCGCCCAAGGGATACCGAAGGGCGTCTCGCAAGGAACCGTCGTTTTTTCAGAGTGTCGATATTAGCTATATAACAGGGGAATATCGTTGTAAATAAAATTGCCGTTACGAGATGGTGTTCGCGAGAAAACGGCATTGCTGTTTCGTTTTTTGTTATGGGTTCGTTTTACGATTGTAATGGGTGGCCGGAACCTTTGGAATAAGGGATGTACTGGGCTAAATAAAGTACTGGGCAGCACAGACAAACATGACTGATAAGGGAATCTGAAATAGCTCTTTTGGACTAACTAATAGTGTAAGTTGAGGGGATAGGTCTTGGGATCGGAAAAGATCCAAGGGGAGTTAATTCACACCATAACTTCGAAAACACCAAGAACATGCATAATTATTCTAAAACAATTGAATATACTGCCTTTTGAGTGACTTTTGTACGAGGGATTTGACGGCGCGGCGGTCAAAACAAAGATGGCTGGTGAGGGAGGACCTGAGGAAATCGTGATTGGGTACCTTCCCAGCGACATCATCACTAACCAGGGGAATGGACGAGCTAGTAAGAGCTCGCCAAGCAGAGAGATAACAGCTCATAATTGGCTGTGATGCCAATGCGCACCAACTGACTACAGTTTATTACGGCAAACAATTCAGACACTTCAAACGTAGGCAATAAACCTACCTTCGTTAACACGAGGCGTTAACATTGGGTACTACATTTATAAGTAACCATGTTGAGGAATGGAATGTGTCAGATGGGGAAATTTGTTCAGATAATCGGAATTTGAACTTTGAAATCGAAGAGGCTCATACCTCGTTTATATCTTATCAAAACCCCCGGAAAACAAACTGGGAAGCCTATAAGCCAGTCCTGGAAACTTGTTTAGACCGGATGGATTTTGTAATGAGAAATTGTACAATAGGCTTAGCAGCAGACTGAGCTATTATCTCTACATACAACGAACATTGTCCCATTGTCAACCAGAGATCAAACAGGAAAATTTTCTGGTGCAATGAAGATTTGGCACGGATGAGATAATAAACTAGAAAACCCTTTGAAATGGCAAGGAAATTAGGTATTGGGGATCAACAAAAGGTGCCTAATTGAAGACAACAAACCTACGAGGAATTCTTAGAGAGACTAATGGTGAAGGCAATTCAAAAAAGTCGAACAGGCGTCTTTGCATTCGCAAGACTTTATAATACACTCTCTGAAGCAGCTAAGGTCTCAATAAACAATCTCAAAACAAATACCAGGGAGTACACAAAAACAGGAGGAGAGACTAAATGAGAGCTTCCCCGGGTGCACTTCCCCGAGTCAAAAAATACAAATCTAACACCGGAGTCCTGAAATCCAGACCTGGCGGCTTCGGAAAGAGCATCCAGGGAAGATTGACTGGTGACAAAGAAAGTGGTAGATTTGGAGGAAATTGAATTGGGCGGTAAACTCATTCCAACCTTATGAGTCGCCAGGACCAGATGGCATTTATCCAGTAATGCTTCAAAAAGGACCGGAACTCCTACTTGAAATAATTGATGTGTATCACAGAAAGTTTGTTTCGGAAAACATGGAGACCTGAGCAGGCCCGCCTTCATTCTGGAAAAATCGGGCAGGACTCGGCGAAAACCTTGAGACCAAACAGTCTCGTATTTTTTGCATTGAATAGATTTCAAAAACTAATTGACAGGCATATTAGAGACGTGGCACTGGCTACAAGACTACTGCATTGTCCGATCATGTATGTCGACAAAAACTTCTTGGTTTGTGTATAAACATAAAGTTACGTTTCGACAAACATGTCATTTCAAAGTTGAAAACAGCTTACCCAACTTTTAAATTATTTTATTGAAAAGATAAAAACTGTTATCCGACTCGATTGTTCTGTCACATTTAAATCGCTGTGGCACGGTTTATGGTTCTTTTCTTTGGAAGTCTGATGCCTATTGTATCCAAAAAGTTCAGAACTTGTCTTTGTGCTAAACCTAAATATCTGCGCAGAAGAATCACACATACAGGACAGATGTTCACATATACATAATAATTGTATAAATGCTCCCTCTTTTATCAGATTGCTTCAAACGCTTCTACACTGGATATCCCTGATTTTATTTTTTCTATGAGTTCCTATAAAAAACCAAAAACAATATTGGCACTGACAATGATGGGCACTGATAAAAAAATGTCTCTTTTTGTTTGGATTCATTAACGCAGGTATAATATGTATCAATCATTCATCTGGTTATTAAATTTTTCTGTTTTTTAAGGAGGTGAAAGAATCGGTCACCTGATCTGACAATACTTGCTTTGTTTTGCTAACATTTTTGTAGATTAAAGTATACAGTGTTGTAATAAATTCAATTGCAAACAATTAATTATTAATATTCTATTAAAATTTTGCCTCATTTTCATATGGTTCCAGGATTATTTGTCTTCTTCAATATTAAATGGGTAGTTGGAATAACATTTTCTGATGACTGGCTCGAACCCTTTCCTTGATTTTTTATTTCCAAGTAGATGGAAAGATGTTTTTGATTTATTGAAATATTTGCTATTTACTTTTTCAATAAAATCTCTCATTGGTGCACATGAATCTAAAAAATTATATATTTTGTTTGATCGACGACTTATCTATTTTGTAGAAATTTATATTGAATATAGAATAAAGAAAATAACATTTGTCTGATTTCTATTGAGTTTATTATTTGTTATCCCTGATCAAGACTTCATCAGTTTCAGGGGCACTGAAAGCCACTATAACAAACAGAAACCATGCTGGGGCAACGAAATGAGCTACAATCTTTAAAATCAACTATACATCTCCTCTTTCGAATATATGAATTCAAACTCCAACACCGATGATACATCATAAGAAATCTCCAATTTTTTAGGTCATGCGATTTTATAATTATACCCGGAATGGATGTATTACAATGAAATTTTACTATTTTCAGAGTGAAATTGAACACTAATCTACTGAAAACACTAATGGAAAACAAGATATTTTATGATTTTTCAGAATTTCTCTCCTAGCATCCATAAAGAACAACAAGTGACAAGGCTCTAGGATTTCTGAAAATGAATACTAGGTAGATCGGACCATTCAGTCATACACATTTTTCCAAAATTTTCACCATAACCCATAAACTGAAGTAACAACTGAAATTGGAAAAAAGGCCAGATAAATTTGAAAAATCTGAAGTGTGTGGAAAACTGTGGAAAATGAAAGAGGTGTTCAGCACAAATGAAAAACAGATATGTTAAAATATATTTAATGAACACTGACTTGAGAATTATGAGCATTTTCTCCTAATATTATTAAAATTTGCATTCAGTTCAACAATTAACTTAAAACTATTTCAAGAAATTTAATCTTATACAAGCAAAAAGATACAATTCAGACTCTCTTCATTGGAAACAAGGTATTAAATAATGGGTCTTCTATAGTGACGATAGGTAAATCAAACTTCATATTCAACAGTGAACTGCTAGCATCCGTGGTATCAACTGGTTGGTTCTCCCTGAAAAAGTAATATTTAAACGTTGATTTTGATTTACTTACATATATGCTTTTCCATTTTATTTTTATACAAGTGACACTATCCTGAGAAATATCACAGAATCACATCATAATGGACAACTTTCATTGCAAATTAATGAATTATCCACCCTAGAACCTTGACTTAGCACCATCAAACTTTAATCTTTTTGCAAAACTCAAGGACTTTTTTGATGAAAAACAATTGGAAAATGATGACATTGAAAAAACAATCTGGTTCGACAGTCAGTTGGCAGAGGTCTATGATGTTGGGATTTAAAAGCTGTAGCCACGACTTGAAACATAATTTTTTTCATATGTTAGTATGTTATACAACAGTTCTTGATTGAAAATTCACCTTCGAATGTTTCATGAAATTATCAAGTGACAATTGTTTCCAATCCCGTCATTCTTTATTTTTATTTTCAATCAAAAAAAGGGCAAGAAACCGATTTTTGTAACGTTTGACCTTGAAATTTAATAGTTGCTTACACCCTACCATATGTAGGTTTTCAGACAACTTTTAGGGTGTCAATATACAAGTATTTACAGACTTACAGCTAGGTATCTCGAATTCTGAGGTGAACTTACTATAATGACTGGACTATTAATGATTTATCTGAGTACATACAGGACTGCTAGTTGCCAAAGTTGATATAGTTAGCCTAATTCTGAATAATTTCAAATCAGTGTCAATCAAATTTTACAAGAATAAAAAACTATACATCTCATTTTATTTGAATGCCCAATGCTTTCTGCTGTCAAACTGAATACTCCACTATTTTTGAGAAGCTACAAAACAATTATAAGTACCAGTGATTAATCCAACGTTCTTGTTATCAGATAAATATCTTCAAAACAATTAAGAATGAATTGATGAAAAAACACTCTGGGTATTTATAGGACAAAAAGGAGACTGTTGAGTGAACATTTGAAAATTTATAGTTTTTGTCAGAAAGAACCTGTCAACCTAAGTGACCAATGGCTCTTCTCGTGACTATTGCACAAGTGATGACGATCAGTTAAGAATGCCCACAACATCACTCAATTTTAAAAATCACCCTTTCATAATGTGATCATCTCCTATTATAAACTGCAATTTCGAATTATGGTGAGATAGAATCAATTATGTAAAACTGGAAAAGGTTTTTTAATTTCGTTGTTTTAAGCATTGAATCGTAATTTTAAAAAACAGTTACCTCTCTGTAGCTGCCTCTGAACTCTCTCCTGTAACATTATTTGCACCTTCTGTTCTCGATGAAAATTTGAGCTCTGGATGGGTTTTACAATGTCTTAGGAAAGTAACTTTCGATTTGAAATTCTTGTTGCATTTGGAACAGGAAAGATCTACTTTTTCTCCATGAACATTCCTCTTATGCCTTCTCAGAACATCTTTAGAAGAATACATCTTGTTACATATATCACACTGAACGTTTTTCGGTTTTTCTTGTTTTGTCTCTGTTTCTCCAGTGCTAATGGTGACCGTCTTTTCTTCATCTTGTGGCAATGATATTATCTGAAGATTACTGCTGGTGGGATCTATATCGAGCAAGTTAACCTCATTAAGAATGAAGGAATTATTGAGTTCGTTGTTCTCATTTGTTGCCAGAACAATGTCAGACATTTGTATTTGCGGAAGTAACAGAGAAGGATCTATCGTAATTTGTTCTTCAGGAATTATGGTCAGCATGCCCTCTGGTGCTACATTGAAGTTGATTATTTGTGTTGAACTTTCAAGTTGCTGCTGCAAAATTAAGATGTTTCATTGAAGAAATCACATGTTTGACGCATTACAGTATTTGTTACAATCGTTTTTTGAAAAGTATATAACAGCTCTTAGAATAAATATGTCCAAACCCATTATTTAAATGTTGCTGACAATATTTCTGAAGAGTTTTCCATAAGAGAAAAGTGTTAATCTTTTCTATTATGAAAAATCTCTTGAGTGGCAAGCTGATAATCAATCTCAAAACATTTGAATCAGTTTGTCGATCCTTCGTGACTGTGTCGAATCAAATTACTATTCATTGAATAATCTTCAAAACCTAAAACCCTTGGGTTATTATATCAATCTGAATTTTTACATACCTCCTGTTTGGTTAAATTCTCGTTCTGAACATGAATATTCTCCTTTGGTTGACTTGTCGTAGGTTCGTTAGTACAGGGACAATTTATTACCATTCGTGAAGCGACTGACTCCAAAACATCTGTAATTTTATTTTTTGATTGTGATTTGCCTCTATTCTTCTTTGATAAATGCATTAAAACTTCGTGAGATTTCCTGTTGGCTGATGTTCTGAATTTCATTTTACAGAAAGTACAAGGAAATGGCTTTTGGCCTGAAAAAAAAGCATAACTTAATAAACCGATGATAAATAAATGTAGCTAGGAATACTTTAGTGCTTAGGTCAAGTATCTGAGATGTGTTTGGAAACCAATTAACAAGTTATGAATACTCTGACCTGTTACTTGATGAAAATTAATAATACCATCCATGATAATAACTATAAAATTTTCACAATGACGTGTTTCCCTAGATGTTACCTTCATCAGTTGGACTGTCGTAACTGATGAAGCTATCGTGTCCGACTGATGTGAAGTCAAAAGTATGCAACAATATACAGCTGCCCATCACTTCAAGATTCACCTCATTACAATCCGAGTTAAACTCGCCAGCTCAAGGACGCTGTTTTCTGTTTAGAGAACAGAGACGGTTTTTCCAATGAATATCATTTAGGCACAGGGATTTGAATCTAACATGATTAGCAACATAATTTTTCTACAGTGCACGTGCATATTCATAAAAAACTCTAGATGGTAATAATTTAATTCTTCAATGAAAAATAACAAAAATGATAATAACTAAAGAATTATCTTGGGAACTGATTCCTGCTGATTACCGTATAAGCATAGAGATTTATTTATTTATTTATGTATACGGGTAATCCCCACGAAGAAAAAAAATAATACAAATACAGTATAACCTTAAAACTAACTTAACCTCAATGTATGTATAAATGTAGTCATAAAATGTAAGTACATAAAATTCAAATGATATATACTTAAAATTATCATCCTAGCTGGTTATCTATTTAATTTTGTTGCTACACTGTTTTTTATAAGTATTCGGTATAGTTCAGTGAAATTCCTGTAATGTCACAATTAAGACAGCTAGCTTCTTGCATAAACCTTGACATGGGTGAAAAGTATCCATAGTTAGTATGGTGATCAGCGACAGTAAAAAGATCATTGTTCCGAGCAGATACTCTGAATGAGACTTCACAAAATGGATCATTACAATTGATGTCACCTGATATAATTTTAAATAAAGTAATGATATCGTTATTTGTTTTACGAAAAGAAAAGGTGTGAAGATTTGCAATATCAAGTATAATCAAGATCATCATTGAAAGATCACTATTAAAAAATCTGGAATAGAATCTTAAGCTCTCTTATATAAGCAAGACCTTTCCATCACTTCTGATTTTTTTCTAATATGTCATATTCTTCAAATGACTAACAAGGTGATTACAATTCTGTTCTCCGTGCTGCACCCGTCGCAGCTTTCTTGGCCTTCTTTGACCCATTTCAGTTTGATAATCAACATTTTTCCTAAAAAACTTTTCTGTCGCAGATGATGATATTGGTCCTTATGGATTGGTTTTCTGTATACTTCATGCCCCAGTCTGCCATTTTTCTGTTTTTCCACAAATACATCCAGATATATTAGTGGATACATCGGGCAATTTGTTAGACACCGGCCGTGGAAACCTATACACCATAAGCAAATAATCTGCTAGAACACTGATCTAGAAGCCTACAGACAATGATTATTTGACCTATTTGTCTATTCTTGTTTTTTTTTTATCGAACTGCAAATGGTAAAATCTCAGAGGGACTTTATAAACTTATTCAAGTATCGACAGCATTTTGCATATTTATGACACCAACCTTGTGCAAAACAACTTTATTGGGTTGGCAAAACTGGTGGTTAATATCAAAAGAACTTTTATGTTTGTATAACAGAGTAACTGTTTCCAAAATGAATAGGCTAGATAACGATAATATGTTCTGCAAGAAGCTCTTTTTGCTGCTCTGATTATGTTCCTAACAGCCGTCTTCTATAGGATGAATGCTGAATGGAAATTTGTTTCATTACATATTTCCCAGAAATCAAATCTCACTATTTTACAGAATACTCACCAGTATGAACAGACATATGCACCTTCAGGCTAGATTTGGAGGCATAGAATGAATTGCAAATGTTGCAATTGAATTCTTTACTCTTGTTGACGTGGGTTCTTGTGTGTGATAAAAGTGTGGACTTTAAAGAAAAACTTTTATCACAAATGTTGCAATGGAAAGGTTTCTCCCCAGTGTGTACTCGAAGATGCCTACTCTGGAAAAAATAAATATTAACGTGAGGAATTTAGCATCATGATTTTGTATCCCTATTATACTAACTTAGAGATATTTTGAAAAATGTGGAACTTTTATGAATATCTTGACGATTCCTGGTTTACTAGCTAGTTTCATCTTCATTCCACATTTTTTACTAGACCTCCTCAAATTCAAAGTTCTTCTAATTGATTAAAGAGTTTGGGCTTTCTTTCTGATTAAAAAGTCCCAAAATGTCCCAAATGAAAGTCATATATTTTGGAAGCAGTCTTTCATCTAATTGTCAAACGAGTAGCTTTTTTTAAAGTTATATGAATATACTTTCCATGATAGATTCATAAAACACCGATGACAAAAATATTTCAACAAAAGTCGGCATTCGGTTAGGGTGCTTCATTACATATGGGTCTTCCAACAGGGACTTCCGAACTTTTGACAATTGATAACGGCCATCATCTTGAAACTACCTCTGTCAAACTAGTTGTCATTCATTAAAATTGTTTTATTAAAATGGGTGCTCTGTTCGGACAATGTATTGCGCGCTTTGCCCATTTTATGGTCGCCATAATCGTCCTACCGAAAGGATTATTTGCAATGTGGTGGATAAATCTGAGTCCACTGGTTCAGTGGATTCACCACCACCACGTCGACGAAACGCAACATCTGCCGAAAACATCGCCGATGTCTGTGAGAGTGTGCAGGAGAATCTGAATAGGATGATCTGGACACCAACGACATGTGGTTTCAACTGAACGGATATTCTGCACTAGCGATTTGAGGGTATGGTCATCTTACATGGAGGTGATGTGAACTGGCCACCGAGATAGTGCGATCTGACCCCGTTAGACTTTTTCTTGTGGGGCTTTCCTAAGTTGCAGGTGTATGAGAATAAGCCACAAACCATAACAGCACTCAAAGCCTACATAACCCATGCTATCGCTTAAATTCAGCCTGAATAATGCGACACAGTCACGGAAAATTGGACATTTGCGCTTCACCCAGAGAAGCTGTGGCGGACATTTGAACATGTTATGTTCCACACATAATGGCATCAATAGGTCTTTTAAACGAATAAAAAACTTCGCTGATATCTCACACACACTTTGAATTTAAAGTTAGGACGTGCTTAATGAAAGACTATACAAGTGCCCAAATATAACACAATCAGGGTATATATTCACACAGGTATAAAGGGACTTTTCTATGAAAAGTTACATCACATTACTGAGATGATCTTTGGTTGACAGTTCGGAGAAACATAAAATATATAGATCAAAGGTGCATGAACAGATGTTGACGTTTATTTATTGTGTCAGTTTCAACGTGCAAATTAAGAGAACTTTGACGTAAATTACATAGCCATAATAATCTGTGAATACATTGGTAAATATAAATCGTTTTGGAGAAAACATAGACTTAGAGTTATTTTTGTATTATATCATTTTTGATATTGTTTTACTTGAAAGACACTACTTTTGCTATGGAAATACTTCGAAGAAATATAATACTCAAACATTGAAACAACCAAGCTGAACAACAACAAAAAGGCAGCGATCTTTCTGGATATGAAAAAAGCATTTGATAGCATCTGGCACAAGGGTCTTTTATTCAAACTGTATCAACTGGGTTGTCCTAACTATCTAGTACATACAATTAAGAATCTGATAATTGACAGGAAACTTAGAGTTAAAATACTGATTCGTTTTTCAGACGAATTTATCCCAACACAGGGAGTTCCACAGGGTTCACCGCTCTCACCATTGTTATATAACTTATGCAGCTCTGATATTTATCATCATCAACAAGGGAATATCAACCACTTCAGGCATGAAGCATGTATTCTCCAATATGCAGATGACAGTGCCCTAATTGCGCACGATCAAACGCTAGACAAAGTTATGCAAGAGTACCACATCGACCCCAACAGAAATATTGTTAGAAAAATTAATACAACTTTATCAATGAAATTGTTTTGTTTGTTCATTTTTATACCCATTTTTTTTTAAATTGTAAAATAAGCTGTGTTATTTCAAAACAATTTTGTTACACGGGTTGCACCAGTTGAGCAAAATTGTAATTTTGTTCAATAAATTACGATTATTATTATTCTATTATTCTGATACTCAATTTCACAAACTATGTTTTCAAAAGACCAAAATTTGTCTCGACACTCAAATTGAAAAAACTGATTTGCAGAAAGTACAAGTTGAATTCCTGAAAGTTAACACCAATAATCATATAAATTTTAAAATTTAGTTGAACTCGAGTTTAGACTCTGATTCGAACAAAAATAAAAAAATTTGATGAGTAAATGATTATTATGATTGATCTCTCCAATAATGGGTCTATGGTAGTTATGTCAAGGTGAATAATGTTTCGAAAAAACAGAAGTTACTGTTAAAAAGTCCTTGGTACACAATAACCTTCAACATATGACAGTGTTGAATTGGGTAAGTTTTTCCTTACCGACCATAGGTTAACTTCTTATACAGTGCATTTCTTCAATGTCCCCCTTTTATTTTTTGAACAAGTCAACTCAAAAAATTAAAATTTGGGATAATGAAATCAATGCATGAATACTTCATTTTGAAGTGAAATTGACAGATGAAACTTTCAAGATGGCGACTGGGCGCCATCTGGAAAAAAAAAATAAATGGAAAGGGGNGTATTCATGCATTAATATCATTATCTCAAATTTTAATTTTTTGAGTTGACCCGTTCAAAAAATGAAATGGGAGTGGGGTGGGGCTTTTAAAGAAATGCACTGTATAAGCTGCTTCAATGTCACCAAACAAATTCCGGTAGTCTACTGAATCTATGTTTATAGAATTGAAGAAAATAATATATGATTTTAGTTCAAACTGAAAAATATTGGAAGAAAAGAATAATGTTATTGAACATTTACAAGCATGATTTTTAATAAATACCCAGTTTTAGGAAAACAACTAAAAGAATATATTTAATAAATGAAACAAACTTACCAGATCTGAGGCTTTTTTGAAAACTTTGATGCAGTATATACAAGGATGTCCCTGGTTAGGAGTAGCTTTATGGAAGGACATGTGTTCCAAGTATTCAATTTTTCCATTAAGAAATTTTTTACATTTTCTACATTCATATCTAGTCTGTCCAGAATGATGATGCTTGAGATGTTTGTTAAGAAAAAAGTTGTTGGGAAGCACTTCCTGACAAATATGACAGATATATTGTTCTGGGTCTTCACGTTTCTGTTTGACTTCCTGATTAGATACAGGTTCGAGTTTGTCATTGTCAGCAACTATGTTTGCAATTTTTTGTGTACATTGGTGTTTTTGAAATGAATTGAAACTAGAAAAGCTTTCATTGCAATTCATGCAGATTATTCTGGAGTCTTCAAACAAATTTCTAGTTTCATTCAAGTCTGAAGTTTCAATGACCATGTTGCCATCAAAAATAGCAGGAGACTCTTTCACTGCTAGGTTATTAATAGTCTGAACATCGCCTTCATATAACAATAAATTTTCTTCTTCTGTTTGCTTTTGAACGATGGTATTCACTAAGTTAGCATTTGAATTCACCAATACCATATTTGCCCCATCTGGCATGAAATTACTGGCTATTAAGCTGTCTGAATTCTAAAAGAAAACAAGGATCAAAAAGATTCATATATTTTCTTCTAAGAGATAACACTTGATAGTGAATGATGTTTCACTAAGATTAATGCTTTGATGTAAGAGTGTTAGTTGCTCTGTTTTCATCTATTTATTTTTCAATCAGACTAACCAGAGTCCTAAATTTTTTTATTCAGTGAGAAACAATTAACAAGTTGAATGTATATATTCAGATTCTTTACAAAAACAAATGAATACAGCTGCATTTTTTGCTATGATTCCTGTCGATTTATGCTGTTTGGATTTCTTTTTTATTTGCTATCTCTCTCTCTCTCTCTGACTCTCGAAATTTCGAGGATAAAGTCGTAATTTCGATATTGAACTCGAAATTTTGTGACTGAAGTTAAAATTTCGAGGTTTAAAGTCGTAATTTCTATATGCAATATCCATAATATTGGTTGGCAGCACTACCGTGCTTCTTGTTTTTTATCATAAAGTGGTTGAGTAAAAAATTTTTTTTTTCGTAGCGACAACGGCGTTTTATTTCCTTAGAATCTGGAATAGTCTGCTGTTAAAAATAACACAAATAGTAAAAATATGTGGCTCTTCTACACTTCTGTAGTATATGGCTGTAATGTCATAAAAGTTAAAGGTTTGGATACTGATTTGATAGTTATGCAATCGACGAAAATAATATAGGGAGTGAGTGTGAGAGAGATTTGAGTATAGAAAACTTCATCTCATCAAACAAAATGAAACAATATAATACAAAAATTTTTATGAGGATTTTTATGGTAATATCATTGATTTCTGAGTTTTTGTCCACCCTTTCTTTAAAAACTCANACATCACTTTTATATGCTATTGCAATTAAGAACGTTGTACACTTGATTATAGATATTGCTGTTGAAACACTTTCTATTAAAAAAACTTTTTTCAACTGTGATGATACAATTCATGATGTATTAAGAAATGAAACTTTTCAAAATCTAGCGAAATCATAATTTCAATTATTTTACACACTCAAGAACAACTTCAGATTGAACTATGATCTATGAAATATTCACTCTGTATCTATAAGAGGGCTGTACCCATAAATTAAAAATAAGCAGCCGACAAAATCTCAAATTAATAGTGAAAAAACGAACAAATTTTAAGAATTATCTAAGGAAATTTTAGTCATTTCTCTTGATTTTTAAAATGACTCATTGAAATCTTTAGGGAATTTTCAATTTTGAGCACTGTCACATTGAAAAAAAGTATTTGTTTTTACCACTATAGAAGTATCATCTTCATTGGAGGAAACACTGTCAGTAGCCACTATAGTAGAGTTATCTGCAGGCGAATTAATATCAGTTGTTCCGTTACCTACAATCTGAAATAAATATCTAAATTACAGATTTTTGAGAACAAACTAATATTCAATACAAACCTTTGGCAGGGCTTCTTCTTTATGAACTTCACGAATATGGTTTTTGCTCAATAGAAGAGTTTTGAAACGTTTGGAACAGTATGGACATATGTAAGGTCTGTTAGTATTGTGGACTAGCATATGCTTTTTGAGAAGTGTGGAAGTAACAAACCGTTTGTTGCATACTTTGCAAACATACTTCTTGATGTCATTGTGACTCAACAGGTGTTCTTTCAATCTATGAGTTGTGACAAAAGTCCTAAAAAATTATTGAGGAAATGTTTCAAATGTAATCATATTGAAGAATGAAGTGATATTAAACTTTGGTACCTCTTCTACTTTGAATGAGAATACCTGATTTCTCTATAAGCATGGAAAAAAGTTCTTAATGTCATCCTTGTTTAAAAAGAAGTTAACGTATTTTTTTGGTGATTTAAATATCAAAATTAAGGAAATAATAAACTAATTGAACTCATTGCCAAGAGTATACTTTCTGAGGGATTGAGATTGAATAATAAATTATCAGTAGAGCAACTGTAATGTCTTTTTTTACCTTTGATTTTATGTGTAAAATCTTACATTAAACCTCTATTGCGATTTCAAAATAAAACCAATTATTTTATTTTAGAAACCAGAATGTCTAATATCGCACAGTGCAATTCATTTGCACTTACCAAGTTTCTAGGCATGGATAAGGGAGGTTATGAAATATTCAGTCTATGGTATCTGAGATAGACTAATGCTCGTAAACAGTGCAGTAGTTTCTATAAACAAAGTCAAACAATTTTTTGACCAGTCTGCTCCAAATACTAAGCACTTATAATAAAATATGTGATGGAACAGGCTGATACTTGGTGAAAATAGAAAATCTTTAGGCGTGTTTAGTACTGAACATGCCTGAAGTATAGTGAAACACGTGTCATGGTTTTGTAAACTGTAAAGTGAAAATCTCGAAATAAATTGTTATTTGAAAAAGTTACTAATTATAAATCTCTCAAATTTCAGGTGCGGTTTATCGGTTATACAAATCAAATCCATCTACCTGGTATTTTATAATTTATAATCTCTTATGATATAGGTATTCATGATGTGGGTCAATTTCCAAAAATTCTGCACTCAAAAATATTTCATAATGTACTTCATTTGTATAGAAATATATGATTGAAAATAATTCGATTGATATTTAGTTATCAGGAATGGATATCAAACTATATTATATGACTTCCATTCAATGTTCGCCTTTCAAACCTTTTTCAATTCAGAATTTCATACTTTGTGGAACTTCTATGAAGGCTTCGTTGAAAATTCTTGGGAAAATGTATGAAATACCAAAATTTTTACAGTTTTTCTCAATATACAACCTGTAAAAATCCTCTGAATGTGATTTTTTGAAAAAATATATATAGAAATCTTACCAAACCTCCCTTCTTTTTTGATCAATTTTATTTTGTACTAAATATTTATGTTGGTCTACCTGACAACAAGGATGGAATAATTAAGAATTTTCTTCTCCATTAACAAGGACACAGATTCAGAAGTCGGATATCTCAATTGGATAAAAATTGTATCAACCCAGAAATACACAAATCTAAATTATTGTTTATAAAGAAGAAACGTGAAAAAAAATCAACTCACTTATGGCATAGATGACAATCATAATGACTTTCACTAGTATGATTTCGTTGATGCCTATTGAGGTTAACTTTTTTAGTAAATCTTATTGAAGACGAATTTGCTCCAGTACTACCAACACGTGGTTTTGTTTGTTTGAAGGTGATGTTTCCTTAAATAAAGTATTAATTGAATGAAAATAAAAGAAAGATTTTGACAGAAATCCAAATGAGTTTGAATACTGTGTCGAGGACAGATACAAACATATGAAAAAATAAATATTTCAAAATAAGTACCTACACCCTAGGTATAGCATAATTCAATGTCCAGCGTGGTATAAGCCGACAAAATAATTTTCGGCAGGCATCTACTAGAACCTACGGTGTAGGAACTTTAGAAGAACTGACTCTATGCCTATATGTTCTAGCATTCCACTCATCCCCCTTTCTCAAAAAGATGAAGTGATTTTTTTTTAATGGGAGATATGGGACTTTCATTCTCTACATTGACATGTTTTTATTTTACATTGCTATGAAAATGTTCGAATAAACATTGAATAAATAAATTGATGGATGTAGCCGTTACTACGTGATAGGAGATCATAATGAAAAGAGAAATGAAAATTTCTTTGTTTTTTACCACTTTTAATTGTAACTAACGTTACTGCAGTTTCGTTCTATATGGACATTCTCAAACTAATACAATAAACTAACAATGATTCATTTCATTCGCCAATATATACCATTCAGGTACTTGATTGAGTACCTGAATTTACAGTTCACAATACGGATGTGCCAATTTAAAAACTGGAGAGTAAATTAAATCGATTTGATTATCTAACACGTTACACCCGCAATGTTTATGCTTGTAAATTTCCAAGGATTCTAAATAATGGAGTTTGTAACCCTTCCTTGCATAGTGCAAAATTTCCGTATCGTTTAGATTCGGAAACTTGTGGTTGCATGCCAAGGAATGGTTTGAAAACGTCGAATCATTTTTTCAAGAAAGACCCGACGAAAAATAGTCAAAATGAACTGAAAAATTTCTTCTGATACTAAAATCATTTTCACGGAATCAAAGAAACGGTGAATCACCAACATGAACCCCTCTTGCCCTAAACTGTATGGCCTGATAAAAACACATAAAGAGGATAACCCCATAAGACCGGTAGTTTTGTATATAAATAGTCCGGTAAGAGAACTAGGAATACGTCTTAACAAGTTGTTCAAAAATATTACCAATTTCGTCCCACCTCACAGCATTAAAAATTCACCGACTTTAGTAGAAAACATAAGGAACCAAACCACGCCACATAATTCAATTTTAGTTTCATTCTATGTAAAGAGTATGTTCTCCAACATGCCGTACAAAGAGTGTAAGCCCCTCATTTTAGACATATTATATCAAGCCAAAGTAGACCATATTCTCCCTTTGAAGTTTCAACACCTTTCGATGTGTGCCTAAATCAGAGCTACCTACAGTTCAACAACAAATTCCATAAAAAGGATTCAGGTTTACCAATGGGCTCACCCCTTAGTTCACTTTTAGCAGACAAATTTATGAGCAACTTGGAGACCACTATAGTAAACTCCGACCTGGGTAAAAAACATATTCATTTTTGGTACAGATATGTAGACGATATTCTTGCCTGTTTCAGAGGTACTACACGACAGCTGAACCAATTTATGACATTCATGAACAATCTCAATAGCAACATTCAGTTCACACTCGAAACAAAGATAGAGAAACAGATAAATTTCTTAGACCTGGCCATTACATACAATCAGAATAAATTCGAGTTCAATATTTTTAGAAAACCTGGCTACACAGACATCACCATCCCAAGCGATTCTTTCCATCCAGACAGTCATAAATTAGCAGCCTACAACTCAATGTTGCACAGAGCATTCGCACTGACTTTGTCTGCAGACAATCTAGCTAGGGAAATTGATATGATAACTCATAATAATGGTTTCAACGCAGATACTATCCAGAAGTTAGTCAGGAAACAAAGCCGGAAATTCACTCACAGATTAAGATTAAGAAATGGGTAACGCTAACATATTTTGGAAATAGAACAGAAATAATCGCAGGTTTCTTCAGAAAAAACAATGTGGAAGTAGCATTCAAACCACATGCCAGGTTATCTCATTTCCTTTTCAATGCCAAAAATAAGGTCAACAAATTGGAAAAATCTGGAGTTTATAAGCTAAAGTGTCCGGAGTGTAATAGTGTTTATGTGGGACAATGCGGAAGAAATTTCCAAAAACAGTATGTTGAACATGAAAGGTCCTTCAGACTAGGAAATTGAATTCACCAAGGAATGTTACAGCTTTTCATTAATTCAACTTGTCAATGACACTGGAACATCTAGCAATGAATGAATTCAAGAATGGGATGAATTCAAGAATGGGATGAATCCCATTTTTTAATTAAATTGAAATGAAGCCGATTGATTTGTAGATTTTCGGTTGATTCTAAGATCAGTAGATGAAAAGTAGATGAAAACGGTTTCAGAGTTGCAGATGAAGTAGTTCCTCAGCTGCTAATTGAATGCTGTAATTTTTTAAGGAATAAGTGGAAAGAAAATCCAGCTGCTTATGATAAAAAACCCGCTACTCAACTTTTTCATGCAGTATGTTCATCAATAGATAGTAATAAAACTAAATCTAAACTGGTGAATATAAAACAAATACTAGTTTTGTAGAGAATTAATGTACAAGTTTCGAGTTGAAAAATTATAATAGAAATAGTGAAAATTATTGTTTTGTGTCTCTCCTTTGATTTATTAAAATTTGACAAATAGAGAATATTTTCAGGGTGGACTGTGTTACATCTACATATTGTTTGAATTGCAATGACCCATTTTGTTTCATATACAAAAATCTGTAATACTAAAAAAAGGGATGAAGCAACCAAAATAAAATGTGACTGTACTTTATTCAGTTACTCCTTTCTATATCTACAAAAAAAAAACTAAAAATTAGGTTTGTTATGAATTTTATCAGGTATACCTGAATTAAACTCACCATGTATAGTCTGATATGAAGGTTGTTTCGATACAGCTTTTATTTCAGGCTCCATAGCATGTGATGGCCCTTTTTCCTTTGTATGCATTTGTGCCTTTTCGAAATCATCAAATACACATTTACAAAGAGAGCACACCCATACTGATATATCTAATTCGTGTTTCCTAGAAATATAAACTTGATTCAAATCCTTGACAACTATTTAGTAAAATGAAAAAGTTTCATAGAAATACCATTACTTTNTTGAGATATGTTGCTTTTCAGTTAGGATTAAATAGAGGAGAGTATAACTACTCACAGATATTGAACATATTGAACATGAACACCTTAACTCATAGGAGACTTGAAACAGATCTTGTGTTTGTCCACAAAGTATTAAACGGCTATATTGATTCTCCAGAAATAGTTGAGCTTTGTACTACTCTCTCTGTGAATGATAGAAGAACCAGAAATAGTGATATTTTTAAAATTCCTTTTTGTAGAACCAATTATGGTCAGAATGAAACAATATGTAGGATATTGAAATCAGCAAATCATTACCATCTTAACCTGGAATTGTTTAATTCATCATTATTATCCTTCAAAAAATCGATTAAAAACATCTGATGTATCTTTAGTTTGTAAGCACATGTACAATTTATAAAAAGATATTTGTAAAAATTGGCTTGTCCGTTGAAATAAATAAATCTTCCTATTGAAGAGAGTCTTTTGGCAGTTCATTATCAACTCAGATGTTGCTCAGCGAGAAACAAGGCCGCTTGGCTGCTCAAGAATAGTTTTGTCAAGTTATGTATAAGGTTAGGTTAGGTTAGGTTAGGTTAGGTTAGGTTAGGTTAGGTTAGGTTAGGTTAGGTTAGGTTAGGTTAGGTTAGGTTAGGTTCAATCTCTCCACACACCAATCAATAGCATAGATTTCCATTCGAAATACAGACCCTCTCCTGAGTCTGCGAGTGTATGCACCTGCACCACAACCTGACAGTACTTTTGATCTATCCGTGAACCAACATGACATATAAGATACACATTAACAAAATTGAACCGAAATTTCTAATCTTCAGAATATCGCAGGACTAGAACCTGCACCCAGCAAGTCCGCAGGACTAACTGTCGTTCATGATTATATTTGTAACTTCTCTTGATCTACTTCTTATAGAAAAATTAATATTTATTTCTTTTCCTACCGACAATTAGTAGAATACTTACCGCATGTGAGTATTTAAGTTTCTGCTTGATCCAAATACACAATCACATTTATTGCATTTATAACTTTTAGATGTATTATGGGTATTCATATGAGAAAGCAGAGTATATTTCAACGTAAATGCCATATCACACTGTGTGCACTGAAAATTGAAAACAATTTCACAGAAAATTATAAAAATAGTCAAACTCGTGCAACAGAACATTCAACAGAAATATTTTTCCCAATTTTGTTACATAAGTATTACTCCACAAAAAAGAGAGAAACTATGACAACAAACATGAAAAAGAAATTATATTGATACATGTTTCATATTTATTTACATTCATTAATATCTTTCAGTATTTATTGTTGTTATCCATCACTAAAACCAATTGGTAAACTATCTTTGTTGAAACAAACCAGTTCCACTGGGTTATATTTACATTTATACAATTTTATCACTCTGGTTGTTTATATCCACAATTATAATGTGTATGAGTGTATGACCTCTTTTCAACAGCTGCAATTGAACATAAATGACACATTTGATAATTCACTGAGGCTTTTCATTCTGTATTATCAAAAAAATATTCCCGTACATTCCCCGAAAATGTAAAAGTTTTTGTATGTTATAACTGGACAGTTATCGCCCGAAGACAATATGGGGAATGTTCCTCCTGNATTTTTTTTGTTGTTGCTTCTATGTTATTTCATTGTAATTTCAGTTTTTTGCTTAATAAAATTGTTTTTTCAGCTAATCTTTTTTATTTTTTTTTAGATTCTTTCAGAGAATTCAAACCAATTTATATATCATATTAGACAATGAAAGTCCGAACTGATGAAATGCACCACGAAACATTGTCAACCACCTTCAAACAAACTTAGTTGACTCATTTGTCACAATATACATGAATATAAGGTGTCTATACTCCACTAAGAAAATGTATGATTTGGAAAGACCGTTATGAACTCTATTATCAAGATGTATATTCATTTCATCATAATGTATAATTTATATCTCATTCAGAAAGAGTTAAAGGTCAATTTTTGTTTTGAATGGGTCAAATGTACACACATAACCCTCTTTCCTCCCACAATAAACATCTCCCAAATAAATTCAAATCGAAAGGGTGAGTTCAGTTAAAATATAACACTTTAATGAAAGATTCATTATGTTCAATTCCATGTTCTCTTTTGATTTGGATGTGTTGTGTATATCAAAAAGTATCTGACTTTTCTATAAAATGGGAAAATGTTCTGATTTTCTTTTTATTGAACTCGTGTTTTTTGTCGACTCATCACAAATCTAATGCCGCTTTTGGAGATATGACCACTCAAAACTTGAAAACACAATTATTTAAGGAACGGACTTTTGGTAACACATGGTTTGCTGTATAATAGCTTCCTCATGTGTGTTCATAAGGTATGTACAATGTATGAACACGTCTCAGGAAGCTTTTATATAGCGAAACACGTATTGCGGTTTTGTAAACTGTTCAGTGAAAATCTCAAAATAAATTCTTACTTTTAGTAATGAAAATTCCTAAAATTGTAAAAAACAGGTAGATTTTCAAAAAACAATTACAATACAATATTACTTTTAGGAAAACAAGTGATTTATAATTATATTAATTATCGACATTATATGAAAACAAGTTTAATAATGATGAGTGAGTAACTTCTTATTGGTCGTTTAAGAGGAAATTTGAATATTTGTGTTTATTGTTTTTTTGTGTTTTTTAAAAACTTTCCTGTTTATTCAGAATTAGTTATTCATTGGAAAAGAAAGATTTTTGGCTTTGCACTTCTTCATCTTCCGAAGAAAGAAAGGAAGTAATCAATTTAAAAAAATTCCTTTACCCAAAAATTAATCCCTCCCGAAAATATACCCCTTTCAATGTAAATTTTATATCTTGATTATAAATTTTAACCTCAAATTTGGAATGACTCGGCAAAACCCGGCAACCAACCAAAACATTGAGGCCAGCCGTGAAAACCTACATTTCTATATTAAATAATGAAGTGCTGACAAATTTCATAAAATTGACCCAAAATCCTAAAAGGGCATTTTCACTATTAGGAATTTTCGAAAATGGAAGAAAGTCTAGATTATAAGGTAACGTTATTACGAGCAGTAATCATATTGTTTTGTTTTCATTAGTTTGACGACTCATATCGATTGCACAAATTGATGAAGCATTTATATTTTTTCGTCAACCCAACTAAACATTTGTTCTTTAATGAAATTAACAAATAGTGCAACTGGCATTAGGTGTTTCAGAGCAACACAGTCTCGAATAATGAAGATTTATTGTGGCAACTGCTACAAAACTTGTTTATAGTCACCATAAGAATGTTTACGTGGATTTTTTTTGTAGTATTTCTATTATATCAGTCTACATCATGGACAATAATTCCCTGAAATCTACTAAGTATGAATCATGGCATTTTTGCTATGCACTCGTAATTGAGTGTTGAAATAAACATAATGANGATTCTTTCCATCCAGACAGTCATAAATTAGCAGCCTACAACTCAATGTTGCACAGAGCATTCGCACTGCCTTTGTCTGCAGACAATCTAGCTAGGGAAATTGATACAATTACACAGATAGGTCATAATAATGGTTTCAACGCAGATAATATCCAGAAGTTAGTCAGGAAACAAAGCCGGAAATTCACTCACAGATTAAGATTAAGAAATGGGTAACGCTAACTTATTTTGGAAAAAGAACAGAAATAATCGCAGGTTTCTTCAGAAAAAAACAATGTGGAAGTAGCATTCAGACCACTTGCCAGGTTATCTCATTTCCTTTTCAATGCCAAAGATAAGGTCAACAAATTGGAAAAATCTGGAGTTTATAAGCTAAAGTGTCCGGAGTGTAATAGTGTTTATGTGGGACATTTGCGGAAGAAATTTCCAAAAACGGTATGCTGATCATGAAAGGTCCTTCAGACTAGGAAAAAATGATTCGACGTTTTCAAACCATTACTTGGCATGCAACCACAAGTTTCCGAATCTAAACGATACGGAAATTCTGCACTATGCAAGGAAGGGTTGCAAACTCAATTATTTAGAATCCTTGCAAGCATAAACATTGCGGGTGCAACCTGTTAAATGATCAAATCGATTTAATTTACTCTCCGGTTTTTAAATCGGCACATCCGCATTGTGAACTGTAAATTCAGGTACTCAATCAAGTACCTGAATGGTATATATTGGCGAATGTAATGATTCATTGTTAGTTTATTGTATTAGTTTGAGAATGTCCATATAGGACGAAACGGCAGTAACGTTAGTTACAATTAAAAGTGGTAAAAAACATAGACATTTTCATTTCTCTTTACTTTGGATAAACTTTTCGTTTTTTTTTATGAAATGATTGTATCAATTTTTTAACTTTCTTACAAAAATGTAAAAAAATACAATTGATCTTGAAAACAAATACTGCCTAAATGTTATTTTGGTTCAAAAGTGGTTTCTGAGGATGAGTACATTTGACATTACTGTTAAAAATTGTGAAATCATACATCAGTATTGAAGAATTTCACCAGTACTGCTTGAGCAATGGACTCACTTAAAAAAAGTGTATTCGTGACCTTTTTACCGCAAAATATTTGTCAGGATTATATTAATTTGGTAAGATTAAATGTAAAATATTTACAAGAACTGAACTCAGTGAAATTCTTGGGATTAACACTGGATAGTGAGATGACATTGTTGTCACATATTGAAAATATAGTAGGCAGGTTGAGCTCTGCATGTTTTTTCGATTAGATAAATAAAAAATACTGTTTCAAAATATATTGAAAATTGCTATTTTTGGGCTTTTGTAATCAATATGGTGAGCAAACAACTGAATTCACCAAGGAATGTTACAGCTTTTCATTAATTCAACTTGTCAATGACACTGGAACATCTAGCAATGAATGAATTCAAGAATGGGATGAATACAAAACCCGGCAACCAACCAAAACATTGAGGCCAGCCGTGAAAACCTACATTTCTATATTAAATAATGAAGTGCTGACAAATTTCATAAAATTGACCCAAAATCCTAAAAGGGCATTTTCACTATTAGGAATTTTCAAAAATGGAAGAAAGTCTAGATTATAAGGTAACGTTATTACGAGCAGTAATCATATTGTTTTGTTTTCATTAGTTTGACGACTCATATCGATTGCACAAATTGATGAAGCATTTATATTTTTTCGTCAACCCAACTAAACATTTGTTCTTTAATGAAATTAACAAATAGTGCAACTGGCATTAGGTGTTTCAGAGCAACACAGTCTCGAATAATGAAGATTTATTGTGGCAACTGCTACAAAACTTGTTTATAGTCACCATAAGAATGTTTACGTGGATTTTTTTTGTAGTATTTCTATTATATCAGTCTACATCATGGACAATAATTCCCTGAAATCTACTAAGTATGAATCATGGCATTTTTGCTATGCACTCGTAATTGAGTGTTGAAATAAACATAATGAAATATGAATAAAAAGCACGAAAAATTAACTAATGTGTGTTTGCCATATTGTGAAAATGACGTCCATATTTCCAAATTTCAGCACAGTTTTTTTCAACAGTATATGAATAATTCAATAACACTCAATACCAATTCAATGGTGTACTTGAGGTGTACTAGATCTAATGGAATATATTTTAAAACTCAGGAAGAATTCCTATTCTGTCTGAAACTGACTTGTTTATGGAAATTCCTTAGAACTCAACTAGGTATCGAATATTCTATTTATGAACCTTCATATTCAATTTTCGATGATAATTAAAATAAAGAATATTAATACCTTACCTCATATGGTTTTTCCTTAGTGTGCATTCTAAGATGCCTTATTAAATCGGAAGGTTTCTTACAATGTTTCGGACAGTATTCACAACAATACCAGTGTATATCCCCAACTTTTTTGTGCTGGACCACGTGTTTTCTTACTGACCCATCATTTGCCGACTCTAACAGAGTAACGAAAGACTTGGGTTGTGTTGCATTTTTGGTTTGGCTATCATCTTTTTGTATTCTTGCTTTCCTTTCAGACTGCAAATATTTTTGGGTTTTATGACCTTCTTGTGTCGATGCTGGATCAATTTTTTTGTTCATTTGTTTATCCATCTCCTTCAGATTCTTCATCACTTCCATGATAACATTTTCCGGGTCATCAGTCTTCGAGTGGACTCTCGTCACGTGACCATTTAGAGATGCAATTTTTTTAAAGATGCACGTGCAATGGGAACATTTGTACATTTTGTCGCCTTTTTCGGGAAATGTATGGGTTTTTCGTACATGGACTTTCAAGTTACCTGAAAATGAGTTGCGACAAATAAAAACATTTTAACTACTATGAAGAAAAATACAAAAACAAAAATTTTCAAACTTCTCCTTTTTCACTATTTTTGTCAGTTATAACAACTTCGATAGGTAGAACTGGAACCTCTGACATAGGATAAATCCGAAACAAGGACTAATCTCAAACACCAGAACTGCAAAGACTATTTCTGACATAGTTTCACAAAATTATGTTTGCAGCAACTTTTTTCTAGGCACTGAATGCTTTATGAAAGTATGGGGAAGAAGTCCACAAAATTAAGGGCATTCGAAATTATGCTGTTATTGATTCAGTATGGTTCGATATAATCACTTACGTGGGCAGATTAACAGATATTTTGAAGAATTTTACTGTATAAAGCAAAATATTCTACTAGTACAGCAAATATTTGTTGTACAAATTTCAAAGTATTTTGAATGTGGAAAATTTATGTTGTATCTGTTGTATACTACAATCTATTCTCAGAATGATATAAGGATGTGTTCCATTTGTTTGAAATCCATAATTTGTATATTTTTCATTTAGACGAAACATTGGAAGTTCATGAGGTCTCCACTTTATATTCTTTACCACAAGATATCTAGTGGATACAAAATACACAAGAGTCCACAATATATCATAAACACATAAAACCTACCTTTACCATTCAAATGCAACTCTTAAACCAACACCTTATTGTTTACTTTTACAATGCATTATTACCATGCAAAGACATTAACATACCCAAAATATTATTAGAGAGAATAAATCAGAGCTATTAAATTGTGGTCGAAAGGATTTTGTATAAAACATTTCGTGTGCTACTTAGGCAGATATATTCAGTGCTGTATGCATTGACTGCAAGGACGAAGGTAGTATCTCAGCAACAACTGACTAGTTGTTGCAGACGAAACGTTTGGTACTACAATTTCCTTTACGCCACAGCCTATTAGCCCAGATTTTATTCTGTCTAATTGTGAAAGTCTATGTTTTTAAACTGTTGCTAGCAAAGTTATAGATTGTTTGTTTCAACATCCAATTACCGGTAGAGCTATTTATAAAATATAACTGCTGGACCATAACAAGTGAAACTTACCTTTTTGATTGAATTTGGCAGGACACATGGTACACACAAATGGTTTTGTTCCACTGTGCTTATTGTAGTGTGTTTTTAATGTTCCTTTCTGGGTAAAGCTTTGGTCACACTTTTCACACTGAAACCATAATTCTTGCTTAATAAGTAGTATTTATTACTTTCTGGTTTAGAAAATAAAAGATTTAGTATGATATTGGTATTTCGGCCCTTCTAAAGAGCTATGGAAA